GACCATCATTTATTTAGCCAGGCTGCCCGAGCTCCTGCTTTGATGGACTTGCCCCTTGCTGTCTCCACTGTCTCGGCAATGAAACCATAGACCCAGTTAAGTGCATCTTCTGAGGCAGAGACCTGTTGTACATCGTGGAAGGAGCAAAAGGGGAGATGAGAGAGGAGAAATCCCACTGGGTATGGACGCGGGAGGAGGATGTCTCTGGGAGGAGGTCTGAGTTCTAGAAGATGCTGCTATGCCCTCCCAGCTGTAGGAACCTCCCGGGCAGATGAGGTGATTGAGAGCTCCTCCCCTGTCAGCACTCTGGGTGAAGAGTGGGGACAGAACTTGGTCTCCTTCATTGTATGCGACATATCTGGGGTTCCTCGAACAGTGAGTGAAACACGTGCCTGGGGAGGAAGCTGGGCTGGGGGCAAGATCCCGCGCCCTGTGCTCAGCACACCTGTCATCCTGCTGGAGGGGGGGCAGGTGCCCGGGCCCCCTGAACCCGAGTCCCTTTACATAGGCCCTAGTCCCTCTCCGTCTTCACCCACCCTCCCAATCACGAGATTTCCTGAAGTGGTGTATTATTCTTCTAGGGCTTCTGTAACCAACTACCACACCCTTGGTGGCTTGAAACAACAGAAATTTATGCTCTTACAGTTCTGGAGGCCAAATTCCGAAATCAGGTTGTTAGCAGGTTTGGTTTCTTCTGGGGGGCCTGAGGGGGCAATCCATTCCATGCCTGTCTCCTAGCTTCTGGCGGCACCGGAAACCCTCGGCACTCCTTGATTTGTAATCTGTCACTCATCCGAGATCCTGATGGTCTCATCCACACAGACTCCATTGCCGTACAAGGTCACATTCACGGGTACTGGGTATTAGATCCTTGGACATGCCTTCTTGGGGACCACTCCTCAACCCACTACAGTGGCATGTGGTAACACTGGGGTATGAATAAAAATGTATCTCACCAAAAACTACATTTCCTTCATTGGTTCTTCAGGTCAATTTTAAGGATCAGACTGAGGAGTGTGACAAGATATCCACACAGACATGTTTATCCAGCAGTGGGAAATAGGTCTCAGGGGTAAGGACAAAGCGAAGGATACTAATCTGGAAGGCACAGAAAGCAAGGAGAAGAGAATTACAAGTTTCCTCATAGCTATGAGCTTCTATGGTTTCAAGTTTAAAATAGAGAAAGGGAGGAGGCCGAGGTGGTTAGTTGGAAAGGCCAAGAAATTCTGATGAATTCTCCCAGGTGTGGGTTTCCTTACACTTCTAGTCATTCACACTGTAAGAAGTCTCCCTTAAACAACTCCGAGTACTCTCGACACAAAGCTCCAGGATTCATGGAATTCCAGAGGCTTTGTTCTAGGAGCTTCTTTCTGAACCCAGAGCTGTCTTCAGTTTGCCTGCCCCTGATAGCTTTGGGTCATAAGACAGCGGATTCTACCATTTGTCTCTGTTCTGTAGGTTACTGCTCAGCCCCGCCGCAAGCTGGGGCGAATATGAGCTCGTGGTGGAGAGCAGAAAAATAAAAGCCACAATCATTTAGAAGGCACGCCCACCAAAGTCTTTCTCTCCTATTCTGGTCTCCTTTTCTCCTCACTTCCCTTTCTCCTTCCTACCCACCTGGGACCTCCTATTACCATGCTCTGACCATGGGAACAAAAATATGAATAAGATACAGTGTGTGTCCATAAGAGACTCACAGGCTGGTGAGGGGACCAGATCCCAAAATAGACATTTCTGGTGCAGTCCAGTAACTTTAAAGATGGGGATACTATTAGTGATAATAATTACCATTTATTGGCGTTTCAGAAATAGGCATTATCATTATCTTGTAGAATCCTTACAAAACTCCCATTTTATAGATGAGGAAATTGAGGCTTCGAAATATTAAGTTGCCCAGTTAAGTATCAGGACAGGGACTTGCAGTCTTGTTTGCTAGATTCCAAAGTCCATGCCCTAAGGGCTCCACTCAGGAGCACAGAGGGTGGAGCCCCTCCCTCGGGGCAGGCAGGAAGCTTGTCATTGGTCTGTGGGACTTAAAAATATGGTATCACCTTTAAAACTTACAGAGCCAGATGATACCAGCAGGGCACATGACCAGAGTACAAATGTTATCATCGTCTCCCCTTTCTGGCCCTCACCTTTGTCCTCGTTCTCCCTGTTGATCTGATCTACTTTCATGTGGGTGGACAGACTTATTTACCTTTTTGATCCCTTTGATCCCTTTGATTTTTTACTGACCCATTTGGCATCCATCTGCTCTTCTAAGGACGATTTGCGGGTCAAAGCCCTGTCCAGACCTCTGCGCCTGTGGAGACTCCTCCTGACCCTGGGCTCGTGAACAGCAGCGGTTTCTGGGATGAGGACGGCTCCCAGTAAATAAAAGCGATGACCCATATGACAGGCAGGGCTGACCGAGGCTTTTATCGATCACTTAAAATATACTTCCTTCCATGGCTTTTTTCTTGCTGTGGTGTTTGATCGCAGAGCAGAAGGTCATGACTGCATCTCCATCATAATTGAATCTGACAAATGGGAGGGGGGTTGTAATGAACACTTCGGCATTGCTCGCATCAGAAAATCTCAAACTGCAGACGCAGCGCTGCGGAATATAAATGTTTCCTTTCGTGCCTGCTGCCTTCTCATAGATCCAGAGCCCTCACCATGTCGATGTGCAGAACAAACGAAGTGCTGTGTATCACGGGGCCTCTTAATGTGTGCAGGGCGGAGAGGGCTGCGGGTCACTAGAACGCTTTAGAGACTTGGCCTATAGCACCGTCCTCTCTGAGAACATGAAGGGGAGGAGAGAAACCAACAACATGAAGGGGAGGAGAGGAACCAACATACAGGTTCAGCCCCTGCGTGTCCTACGACCAGTCACAGATGCTCCCAAGTGGATGCTTCCCTGCCCTCAGGGTGGCCTGAGGGGCCACACTAAAGCACTATGGGATCCAACAAGAATACAATTATTTTTTTTTTTAAGATTTTATTTATTTATTTGAGAGAGAGAGAATGAGAGACAGAGAGCATGAGAAGGAGGAAGGTCAGAGGAAGAAGCAGACTCCCCACTGAGCAGGGAGCCCGATGCGGGACTCGATCCCGGGACTCCAGGATCATGACCCGAGCCGAAGGCAGTTGCTTAACCAACTGAGCCACCCAGGCGCCCAAGAATACAGTTATTTTATTGGGATGGCTGAAGGCAGGACTCTGTGGACAAGGCAGTTTTGGGGACAGGTGTTGAAGGTTCTTTGAAGACCACACTAAGGGAACTAGGTGTCCTTTTTTTTTTTTTTTTAAGATTTACTTATTTTAGAGAGTATGGGGGGAGAGGGAGAGAATCTCAAGCAGACCCCCCACCCCCGCTGAGTGCAGTGGGGGCTCAGTCTCAGGACCCTGAGGTCATGACCTGAGCCAAACCCAAGAGTCTGAAGCTTAACCGACTGCGCCCTCCAGGTGCCCTGGGAGCTAGCTGTTCTTGATGGAAGTTCCAGTCTGCTAAATCAGGGAGCTGGGAAAGTAAGGGTGCCCACTCAGAAAACATTCTGTGGTCCATTTCAGCTGGTGTCTGGGCACGTTCAGGTGAGCCCCTGGAAAGCAGGAGAAAGAAGTAGATTGGCACTGGGTTATAGACTGAATGTGTCCTCCCCAAGTCACATATTGAAATCCTGATCCTCACTGTGAGGGTGTCAGGAGATGGGACCTTTGGGGGACGTTAGGTCATGAGGGTAGTGCCCTCGTGAATGGGAGGAGCGTCCTCTCCAGAGGAGAGCTCCCTCGCCCTTTCTGGCATGTGAGGGCATGGTCAGAAGACAGGGAGTCTGCAGGCTCCTTGATCTCAGCCTTCCTAGCCTCCAGCCTGAGAAATGAATGTCTGTTTACAAGCTCCCAGGTGTATAGGATTCCGTTCCGGCAGCCGGAACGGACTAAGACACCGCCATACTCTTTCTCAGGTCCTGCCATAGCACTGGTCTCCTCGGGACTGTGTTGGGGAAGGATCTTGATTCTTTCCGAGCAGTTGCCCTGGGGTGGGGGTGGGGGGTCTCTGCCTCGGGGACAGCTATCTTCCTTTGCACAGGTTTTATAACAGCTTTCAGGTCCAAGGGCGTTCAATTTCCAGAAAAGAAAGACTGGGTTAAAATGTTCTTTTATGCCCTAAAAAATCACGTACCGGGAGACTAGCCAGTAGATTAACTCCACTGATGGATCTCGAAGCCCCTTGCCACCCCGTTTTAGTGTCTGTATGTGCTCCTAGATGGAGGATTTGGGTAAGAAGAAGGGGAGGTGGGGAGCTGAGGAATCCAGACCCTGAGTTTCTAGCAAGAGAAGGGGCCCAGTATCTATGGAACAGATGAAGCAAGTTCCAGTCAGAGACCTGGAAATGACCAAAGAACCATGTGTTAGGTTAGGCATCATGTGTAACAACGCTCCCATGAGCGGGGAGACCTGGTAATCTGTCACCACAAAGGATATGGGTCCCAGCTCTTCCCAAGGCAGCCTTGCTGCCCTGACCTTTGGGAGACAATCCATGGGCATGGAATAATAATTGGTCTATAATAATTTAGGCCCAACTCAAAGAGGTTGGGTTTGAAGTTACCGTAGCAAAAGGAGATGCGTGAATGGAACAACTTTTGGCTTTTCCACTTGGCTTCTTGGAATCCTTGGAACCGTTCCCTCACCAGCAACTACTCCTGTCCAGCCCTCCCCCTGTCCCTTAAAGGGCTTATTACAAGTAAGACATACTCACTGTAGGAATTTTGAAAAACAGAAGAAAGCAACAACCATAAACCCACTTCCCGGGGGGGACCGCTGTTAGCATCTTGTGTTTTATTTGAAGCTTTTAAAAGATGTGTTTCAATGGAAAATCCAAACTAATGCACTTCTAATGAAACGTGGGCTGGATGGGACAGAGGTTGGGAGCTTCCGGCTTTTGGTCAGATCGGGGAGGGCTCTGGTTCCCAAGATTTCTGCAGAGTCCTTCCTTTTGCTTTCTTGATTTGTTTTAGGGAGTGGCTGAGGCCGAACTGGAACAGAACCTGAGTCGGACTTTCAAAAGCTTCTTCAGAGCAAGTGATGACATGGTGAGTGTTGCAGGGGGTGGGAAGGCGGGGGGTGGGGGGAGGTAGCGGGGACGGGAGGGGAGGAATGGGGAGCTGCAGAGGTTCGAAGGCCTCTGGAAGGCTTCCCTGGGAGGGAAGGGTCCTGGGGTGTGGCAGGGTCTGGAAATGAACAACGTGGCCTTCTTTTCTTTGACTTCTGTAGTCAGGGTCATCGAGGTCCTCACTCGACCACTCCCCTTGCCATGGGGAAAGGTTACATCCTCCCTGTCCCACACCAGTAGGGCTTTGGGATGAAGATCAGAGAAGGATTATAAAGGATTTTAATAGCAACAGTTGAGAAGTTGTGCTGTGACTGCTGCTACCATTTTCACACGCAGAATTGTTCATCCAAGTCCTAAATCAACTGATACCACTAACCCTTGTCTTGAAAAGGAGCCTAGAACACTTTTAACTCCATAACCCCAGCCAGCTGTCTTTTTTTTTTTAAGATTTTATTTATTTATTTGAGAGGGAGGGAGAGCACAGAGAGGGAGAGAGAGGGAGAAGCAGACTCCCCACTGAGCAGGGAGCCCGCTGTGGGACTAGATCCCAGGACCCTGGGATCATGACCTGAGCCAAAGGCAGACGCTTAACCGACTGAGCCACCCAGGTGCCCCACCCCCACCCCAGCCCGCTGTCTTGTGTGTGGGTCGTCCTGTCACTCCCGTGTTTGCCAGCGCCTTTGCTGGTCACCCCTGGCATTTCGCTTTCCGTTTCGTGCAATTTCTTCCTCCCCGAAGTACCTTCTTAGGTAGTTCTCTCCCTAAGAGTCTGTTAATAATAAACTTATAATTTTTGGCCTGAGAATATTTTTATTTTGATCTTCAGTCCTGTAGACTAGTTCATCCAAGGATGGAATTCTAGGTAGAAGCTTCTGTCATTGCTTCTTAAAAATCAGCCCGAGGTCTGCCCTCCTCCTTTCTGTAGTGATGTCTAATCGGCAGTTCAATACATCTTCAAAGTTTTCTTTTTAATTTCCACAAACAGGGTTTTTGTTTATGTATGAAAGTTGTATTTGGCTCTTTTTCAAATCGTTCTAATCTTTTGTGAGAGAGTCTTGTTGTATTCTTGTGTTCTAGTTCCTTCTTTTATGTCTTTAATCATGTTAAGCATACTTATTTTTTTCATTCTCTCTCTCTCTTTCTCTGAAAGTCCTATTACTTGATATTGTTGAAGACTCTGATTTTACTGTTTGCTGTGTTTGCTGACTCTTGCAAAGGGGCCTGTGTGTGTGCGTGAAGGGTGTGGGGGTGTGGCGGAGTATTCTGAAATTTTGCTTTGTGAGCTCATCTTCAGCAGCCCTGAAACTGCACCAATCTGCTTCCGCTGGGCTTGAGAAAAAATCCTCCTGTGCTTTAGCATTTGCTGCCTCTGCCAGGCATCCCGGGGGCATTACCAGCCCAGGCCCACTTTTCTTCTGTTGTTGTTTACCTCACACCTTGGGGGTTTCCAGGTCCTGTAGATAGAGTAGGTTTGAACCTGACCACCTATGAAGGCAGGCTTATAGCTGTGAATTCCTAGGGGAGCTTTTGTGGTTTCCTCTTCGTACCAAACTGAAATGGAACAAGTCCTTTGACATTGCTCCACGTGAGGGGTGGATTTTTTTCCAGCCCACCCTTTCGCCGAGGACTGCAGATTTCCTGGGTGTGCAGTAGAGGGGTGGAGAGTATCTCCTGTTTAACTTCCCACCCGCCATTGGTCTAAGGTCTCATCTCTTGTTCCCATGGGTTGTGTCAACCCAAGTTCTTACATGACCAAGGCCTGCAAGCACCCAGGAGCAGCCTTGGTACAGAGCTTTGGTTGTTAACCACCTCGGCTCTGACCCCCGAAGATGTCTCTAGCTCTCTTGGGAGTTGAGCATGTTTGTGTGACCTGATGGCACTCGTAGGCCTTTGGTTGTGACAGGGTTTACACATGACCTGTTTCAACGTTTTTCCTTTACTTCATCCATGACGAACTTTCTAACCTTCCTTTTCCTTACAGGCTTTTATCAGAGTGAGCCGAGTCCGTGAAATGGGTAAGAGAGATTTTTAGGAGGTGGGGGGGCAGGAGGCTCATGGCAAGAATCAGATGAAGGTTAAACAAGTGTCCATCTGACTGCTCTGAGCAGAAGCATTCTCCCCACCCCCCTCCACCCCCCGCTCCAGCTCTGAACTGTGACTTAACATAGGCCCCCACTGGTGAATAGCGCTCACCTTAGCCTTGGGCTGACCACACGGCCTTGGTTCCTGCCGCCCCAGGGAACTTTGGGTCCACGATCTTAAACCATAAGAGCTTAGCGGAATCTTAGAGCTCATCAGGGCAATCCCACCCTCTGCTGATAAGGACCAAGACCTAAGATAGGAACTGACCTTTGCAGGATCACCTGGTGCACACGGAGCCCAAGTCAGCTAGACCCCAAGCCAGAACTCCTCTGGTCATGATCCACTGGCCTTTCCTCTATCCCTATCTTGCTTTCCCATCATTTCCAGTTCCCCCACATGAAGACCATCCTTGTTCTCCCTCCTGGGTTGGATGTAAGTGCAGAGTCGAAGCCGAGAGCAGTTAGGAGCTCATCCCCATGGTGCCCAGATCCAGCACTGCTCCCACAGAACCTTGCTTTTGCCCCCACACGATGGCCTTGCCAGCATGCACTCGTACTAATAAAGACGATCGCTACCTCTTGTTTGAGCACCTACTGTGTGCATCGAACACGGGCCTGGCCCCCTGGAGATCTATTCTTTATCGTCCTCATGACAGCCTTTAAAAATCCCATTGTTACCACTATTCTACAGGTGAGGAAAATGGATCTCGGAAGAGTTAAAGTATTTGTTCAAAGGGGTGAGGCTGGTCTTAAACTCCTCCTACGCTAAAGGTCATACTCCTCTCATTGGTTAAGAATGCCTTCTCCTTCCTTCCCTCCCTCTCTCCCTCCCTCCCTGTCACGCAGTCACTTGTTCATTCCTTCATTCCCCGAGCATGTGGAGCCCACGCTTGATGGGAGGCAGGGGCGGATAGCTAGATGCACAAAGCACAGCTGCTGCCTTAGGGTGGCAGACAGCAGTGGTCACGGGAGGAGAGCAGGTGGGGGCTCTTACAGAGGTGCTGAGTGAGCCAGGAGCCCCACGCCGGGTCAGGGAGGCGCCCTGATCACATACCCCGTTGATACATCTCACAAAAGTCTGCATCACCCAGTTCCTATGCTTTTGAGGCTCAAGAGCCTGAAAATGGTGAGTCAGCCCTGTTCAAGCGCCAGTGTTACTAGCCCTTGTGGCTGTCCCCTGTGACATAGCAGCGGTCCCCAGGCTGCCCATTGTCATCGCAAGGTGGCCGCCAAGGGGACTGGGGACTGTTAGGACACAGGGTACACCTCTGAGGACAAGATAGGATGCCACAGTGTGCAGAGGATCATGAGCATCAGAAGGCAACAGAATGCGTGCTCCCTGTCCTGGATTTTCCTCCAGCCTAAGAGAAAAATCAGAGCACACACTTCTGAAAATTCTGAGAATCAGTGGAGGTATCTAAAGAGGGACGTTATTAGTTAGGCCATTTAGAAAAGGTTTAGTGGCGGGGGAGAGGGTAGCTGGAGGGCTGGTGGGACCTGGTAAACAGTAAATAGTGTCATCCTGGAATTACGTCGTGAGTTTTTGAGGAAAGGGATATGGTTTGTCCCCAAGTTCATCCTGGAAGGGGAGGTCTGCGTGTGTGATGTCACTGGGTTCCAGAACGACAGCGAGGGCACAGATGTGCAGCTCGAGAGGAGATGGGCTCGTTGTGGAGAGAAAAAGAGAATGAATGAAGGAACACGAGACCCCTCCCTGTGAGTTCAGATGTGCCAGGAGAGGCAGTTCGGTGCCCAGCCTCAGTTGGGAACACGCCGGAGTTAGGACTCGGGTGCCTGGCCCCGGGCTGGGAGCAAACAAGTGGCTGTTTGCAGGAGGACTCTTAGTGAGGGCCCCAGAAGAGCCCAGCCTCAGCAGCATCGTCACCGAGGAGGACATCCGGGTCTATGTGCAGCAGTTCCAGAAGTCCGGTTTCAGGTAAAGACAACAGTGCCCCAAACACAGTAGAGAGCCCATCGGCCAAGAGGGGCTCTTCTGCTCTCAGGGTACAGGGTGAGGCCTGGCTGTCCCTCCTGTGAATGTGTGGCCAGCTTCTGCTTGACCACCTCCGGTGTCAGGAGGCTCACTCCTGAAGATACTCGGCCTGCTCTAGTGTAGGATAACTCAGCTTGCTTCCCCTTATGCTGATAGGCCCCCTCAGAACAGATGGTTAAAAACATTTTTTCAGTCATAACCTCTGAGAGGACCAGAGGACAGCTCTGGGTTCTTTCTTGAGAAAAACACAAAGCCTACCTAAACTCAGAAGTTGCATGTATCTTCAGAGGAGGGTTATCGACCTCTCTTGTTCTTGGTGTTTGTTGGTTGGTTGGTTTGTACTGAGGATTGGGAGAGTGTTCAGGTCCGGGCCTGGCTGTCCTTACCTGTCCAGAGAGGCCTCTTTGAGCCCCCTCCCTATATCCCATTGGAAAGGGTGCGTCCGCACCATATCCACCTCACAAAGTCCCTCTTCAGTAGGTTCCGGGGCCGGGGAGTGGTTTCTAGATGGTGAGGGAACGAAACAAAGCTCCCATTATCTAACACGACAGCCCTCAGAGAATGTGGCGAGCCCTTGTAGGGCCAGCTTCTGTGTGTTTTGGGAAGCTCCCTTCAGAGGCTGCCTCGGCCGAGCCCTGAATGCCTGCACTAGGCCTCGCTCCTTAAAGCCTAGCAGGTGTGTTGGGCAACCAGATGGGAACCCTGGGCTCTGTTCTCTTCCCCTCCTGCAGCAACCTTTGCTCCCACTGGGAAGACTGGCTCTGCACGGAGCTGGCTCCCTGGGAGGTCTGCAGCCGAGTCCTCTACTAAGCTTTCTTGTTTTTGTTCCCTGATCTTCCCCACCCCCAGAGGTCCCCTAAACTGGTATCGAAACATGGAGCTGAACTGGCAGTGGGGCTGCAAAGCTGTGGGATGGAAGGTGAGTGCTGGTTCAGTGTGGTTGCGCTCCCCTATGAGCCCCTCTCGGGGCTTCTCATTGGCCCAGTGAATCTGCCCTTGGGTCAGAGCTGGGGTAGGGGGGATGGGCAGGCCAGTCTGACTTGCCGTCTTTCTCCTTTCTGTCCTTTCCCTCCACTCAAGGGGGTCCTCGAGGACTTTTGCTGATGCTTTCCTTGGAATGGTTGAGGGTGGCATTGGGGCAGGACAGGGGTCTGGCCAGGTCACCACAGCGCTGCCGTGGAAGGCCCCAGGTCTCCTGACCATGCTCCAGGTCAGGGCCACAGAAAGTCCAGGATGACTCCCAAAGCGGAGGAGGATCATGGAGCCCCCATGTCACAGAGCAGCGTGAGGTGCCCTCAGAGAGACAGGCTTTAGCCCTGGCTGTGTCACCTCACCCAACTCAACCTGAGTCTCAGTGTCCTCGTTTGCCAAGCAGAAGATGCGTTTCCAGTCTCTGGGTCTGCAAAAGGAATAGAGATAGGCCCCGCTTTTTGAAAGTTCGCTTTTACGGAAGACCTACCTTAGTAGCGGGTTTTCGCGAACCGAAAGAAAGCCAAAGAGGATTTTTGCTTTTAGAAAAAAAAGGCAAAAAGCAGAAATAGCATTCAGCATTTCTTTTGCAGTGAGTCATTATAGAGGCGGTTCACAAGCCAGAGGGGTCCTGCCAAGCCCCTTCCCAGGAACTCCCCTCAGCATCTCCACATCAAGCTGCTGTAGCTTTGAACCCTGTCTCTGAGCATCTGGGCTTGACATTGCTCTCTTTTGTGCATCCGTTAGCAAGGTGTTTCCTAAGGTATCAGAAAAGCCGAAAAGAGGGTCTGGGAAAGTTCAAAAATTTTTTCATATAAATTAATGGTGATTGCTTCTTCGCCTTACACAATTTTGGCTTATGGGAGTTTTCACAGGAATGCTCTACTTTTGGGGAGTGGGGGAAACTTGTAACAGGTCCCCAGGTTACATTGATAATGTTAAAAAAAACTATGGGAAATTTCATTTTTGCGTTCCTCAGCTCACTCAATCACCCTGGTTATCTCGTCGATTCACTAAAACATGAGCACACTCTATGTGCCAAGCACTGGGCTGGACCTTAGGGATCCCATGGCGGTTAAAACAGATGAGGTCCTGACCTCGTGGGGTGATGTCTTGAGGCAAAAGAACATGGAACACAGTAGTTACGATCAGGCTGGGCAGCAACTCGGCCTGGGATCTAATCCCTGTGTGACCTTGGGTAAGGCACCTAACCACTCTGTTCTCCATTGCTGCTTCTGGACTATGGGAATGACAAGAATAGTGCTTACCTCTTAGATGGTGTAAGGATAAACTGGGTTGATGCCCGCAAAATGCTTAAACCAGCGCCTAGCGCATACTAGTAGTTCCATTCAGGCTCATTATCTTTGTCTCTCATCTGTGACTGACCAAAATGACAAAACCACGGTTTGATAGGCAAAAATCTCTCCCAGCATGGAGGGACATAATGACAGAGTCTTTGGGAAGGTGACACCAGGGGTGCCAACATTGGAAACCCCGTTCTTCTGCAGCTGCCTCCCAGATCTTCCTCCTCCCCACCTCCTCTCGTGCCCCCACGACCAGTTTACATTGTGACTTGGAATATTCTAGAGTCTACAGCAGCCTCAGGATGAGTTTCTGCAACAAAATCACGTTTGAGCATCCCCTGGCTCTTCCTCGTCTGGTAGAGGGGATGCAGTGAGAAGCCCATGGTTTTGCCCATAGGGAAGAAACAGTTGGGCGAGTCCCTTAGGCAGGGACAAACCGATGCTGTTTGAAAATTATAATGGCAGAGGGAGAACCAAGAGGCTAGAGGAGGCTTTCTCCAGCCCACAGTGTCCCATATGTCAGCGGGCGAAAGTAAAGTCATTTCTGCCACCGCTAACATTGATAATGGTTGGGGCTGACCCGTTCATTCTGGAATCCTGGCTGACCTTTTTAAGCATTCATTGAATTCAAAGAAAAGGAATATCAATCTCCGTCCAAGGTCATCTTTCCTCCTTCCTGGTGTCATCTCTTCCGTTCTGTTAACAACCAAAATTCAACTGAGTAAATTTGAAGATCTAATTGGCTTTATTAAATGATTCCTGGATCGGGCAGCATCCCGTCTAGCACGGAGAGGGGCGCTGAGGAGCTGTACCAAGGGGAAAGTTTTTATAGGTAGGAGGGGGTGGCTAGAAAGTTCTAAGCGAAGAAAAGAGAGGATTGTTTCAGGCAAGGTCACCTTCCCTTAGGGGGAAGGGCAGGGGTCTTAAGCACGTTCCCTCACCTTCCTATGGGGTGGGGGGGACAGAGAGGGCCCATGTGACAGATAACCTCATCAGTGCTAATCAAAAAAATTCCTGCCTCAAGGTGCCTGGGTGGTTCAGTCGATTAAGCATCTGCCTTCGGCTCAGGTCATGATCCCAAGGGTCCTGGGATCGAGCCCCATGTCAGACTAGCTGCTCAGTGGGGAGTCTGCTTCTCCCTCTGCCCCTCCCCCTGCTCGTGCTCGATCTCTCTCTCTCTCTCAAATAAATAAATAAAATCTTAAAAAAAAAAATTCCTGCCTTACCAGTTAAGACATTTCTGGAGGAGGTTGGAACTGCAATTAGGTTAGGTATTAAGCTCCAGTTTAGTAATTTGGCCTGGCCCAAGTGACATCATTTGGGGCCTATGGGTTTCTTTTCACAGTTCTGTGAGTATCAGTCACACAGAGTGGGCCAGCACGCATGTTCTTACGTACACACACATGCACACAAAACCCGCATTGGTCACTCCACTGTTGACTCCATCTGTATTAGAAAAACCCAGTCTTGTCCTTCTGTGTGTCTCCTTTACTTTTACACAAAACGCTTCACCCCGCTGACACTTCTGGTCACCAGATATATGGGGGTTCCCCCCACCAAGCAATTCTCTGCCACACCAGTTGGGTGTCCTATAATTCAAATCCATTCTGACACTGTCTCCCCAGAGGTAGCGCCGGATCCCGCAGGCAAGGGTCCCCCAAGACTGCCCCCACTTCAGATGCCAGTCACAAGTCCAGCTTGTCACCTGTCCTTCTCACTGATCGGTGGTACATCTGAAGTTCCCATGACTCCCTCCTCAGATTCAACTAATTTGCTAGGGCAGCTCACAGAACTCAGGGAGCACATTTGCCAGTTTATTAAAGGAGATGACAAAGGATACAGATGAACAGCCAGAGGAAGGGGTACATAGGGTGAGGTCTGGGAGGGTCCCAAGCAGAGGGGCTTCTGTGCCTGCAGGAGTTGGGGGTGCATCACCCTCCCAGTGTGGATGTGTTTGCCAACGTGGAAGCTTCCCAAACCCCATCCTATTGGTATTTGGGGGGGCCTTATGGAGGCTTACTCATGTAGGCACAATCAATTATTAACTCCATTTCCAGCCCCTCTGCCCTCTCTAGAGAATGGGGGGTGGGGCTGAAAATTCCAAGCTTCTAATCATGGCTTGGTCCTTCTGGTGACCAGCCCCCATCCAGGAGCCCACCCAGAGATGCCTCAATGGAACAAACGATACTCTGGGTGCTCTATCTCTTCGGAATTTACAAGGGTTTTGGGAGCCCCGTGTCAGGCAGGGATGGGGTCAAAAGCCCAAATATTAGTACAAGATGCTCACAATGTCCTCATCACTTAGGAAATTACAAGGGTTTCAGGAGCTCTGTGCCAGGAACCGGGGCAGACACAAATATATATATTTTCTATCCTCTCGCACCATCCTTTTCAGATCTCCAGTAATAGCGATGCCTCCTCCCTTCAAAGCCTGGGGAAACAAAGCCAGGGCCACACCGGCAGCACCATAGTGGGTCTTTGTGGGGCAGATGGGGGCAGCGTTAGTAGTGGAGGAAGGCACGAAGCATGAACATGAAGTACTGTGTCCTTGCCCCAGGAGAGGGGCACAAGAAGGGAACGTTTTCTCCCTCCTCCCCAGATCCTGGTTCCGGCCTTGATGGTAACCGCGGAGAAGGACCCCGTGCTCGTTCCTGAGATGTCCAAGCATATGGAGGACTGGGTAAGGGAACGGTCCTGCCCTGGGGTCATCGGCGCATCCCGGCAGAGGGTATGGGCGGCCGAGGAAAGATGGCAGCTGAAGCCACAGAGCAGGAGATCTGCTTGAACCACTTGCTGGACAAGGTTCTCCATAGCATCACTGTCACCTCTTGGGAGCTGTTGTCATGACCAATGCTGCCTTCCCCTGCACCGGCGTGGCCTGTCACTCACTCTCTCATGCATTCGTTCATTCGTTCATTCATTCATTCATTTCATGGGCTTTTACCATGCATGTAAGTGTGTTGGCCCAGTGCTAGATTCTGGGACAGGAAGGATGAATAAGATACGGAGCCCATCCTTGGGGAGCCCACTGTCAGCATTTAATCCCGAACCCAGGAGAGAGTGAAGGAGAGGGCACAGTTAGGAATGAGGTCTTTGCAGAGGTGCTGACCTTGGTGAACATCTGGCCTTGGTGAACAGCTAAGGCTTGCCTGGCAGAGAGAATGGAGACAGGGTGAGAGGCAGGGAACATTCGGGACATGCTGGGAGAATGGCAGGTATTCCAGAAGGCTGGAAGATTCTCCTGAGCCCACTGGGCCAGGCTGAGCTTTGTACATCCATCCATGAGCATAAGCCACTGAGGGGGATTGACAGGAGAGAACCTTGTGGGTTGGAAGCTCACTCTGCTACAAATGTGGAGGTTGGTAGAAAGTGGGGAGGCTTGCAGGTGGGGGACCATGGGCTGGCTCATTTATCCTGCCCAGCTGCTGGGAGCAGTTCCATGGCTGTGGCTTTGTGAGCATCCTCAGACACAGCAGACAGTGTGTTAAGTGGGATGCAGTGTGGGCTCTAGAGCCCACTGACAGAGGGCTGCAGAAAGCCATGAGCCCGTTGGGGGTTGGGGGGGTGCTCATTCTCTCTGGCCCTACCCTCTGAAGGTTTCTGTAGAATTTCCAGTTCTTCAGCTGGCCCTTTCCAGCCCTGGCAACTGACTGCTAACCTTGCTGAGGTTTGTGCTTGGAAGGGGCTGCACTTGCCTCTGGGAGGAAAGCCACATTTTTCCCCCAGCATTTTCTACATCATATTGCGCAGTTCAAGGTTTGTGTCGGGAGGGAGCCCGCATGTGCCGAGTGCCGTGCTGCTCCCTCTCCATCCTTGGGGCTCATTGCTCTGACCCGCTGTGGGGATTCAGGGTCCAAAACGGGAGGCTGAACAGCCCTGCGTGCAGACCACCAGGGAGAAGGGAGGCAGCCTGAGAGGGGGGCACTCAGTCACGTCTGCATGGCAGGAGCCACACAACAACCAGGCATTTTCCAGACGGTGAACAAGCCATGTCCTAATAATTCTAAAGAGAAGCAATTTGTGGTGATCAGTACAAGGCAGCCCTGAATTTGAATCTTAGCTCCACCACCTGCTGTGTGGCCTCGGGCAGGTTACCTAACTTTTCTGAGCCTTCATCTTACCCCATAGGATTACGGTCACGGTTAGAGAAGGCAATGCACGTAGAGTACCTGGCACATAGTAGGAACTCAATAAATGCCCATTCCTTTCCTAAATAACGGAGGGTCTTCGGGGGTGGCCTGGGGGAGCACTAACCAAAAGCCAGACTCATTTGCATTCTGCCATTGACTTTTCTGGGTGGGGTTTTCTTGCAGATCCCCTACCTGAAAAGGGGACACATTAAGGATTGTGGACACTGGACACAGATGGAGAAGTAAGGAGATGTGGCAGGGTAGCGGGGTTGGGGGGGATCCCCTGATTGGAGATCAGGACTTCCTGTTCACCTCCAATAAGGCCTTTCCCGGCTTGGCCATTCCCTTCTTCACCTCTGCTTTCACATGGGGTGAGTGGGTCCAGACAGGTGTGAATTGCCCTTTCTTCCCTTTCCAGGCCCACCGAGTTGAATCAGATCCTCACTGAGTGGCTGGAGACTGATGCCAGGGACCCACCGGTGGTCTCGAAGCTTTAGGGTGTGGCTCGTGCCAGCCCCCAGCAGGCCTTCAAGCCCTTCTTCTGTTGGGTGCTCCTCTTGGAACCCATCATTTAATTTTAGTTAATATAAATCTGACTGGTCCTGTCTGGCAGGCAATAGCTTCCAGGTGGCTCAGGGCAGACCCAACCCTTCCCTCTAGCCGTTCCTTCCCCAGCCACGTCCAGAAGCCACGTCTCCTCCAGGTGTGGCCCCTCCCCGAGGCTTCAAGCCCTCATCGTCTCCTGCCCAGAGCCGCGCAGCACTTGGGTGGGAAATACCCATGCCTCACTGCTCAGAGGAATCCATCTAGCCACACATGATAAAATATTTTCCTAGCAGCTGTAGAAGTTTCTCCCGAGTGTTGGCTACCGCACGCAGTTGTTAACTGTCTGCCCTGCGAGATGGTAAGGCCCGTGAGATTGGCGGCTGCCTGTCTAGGTGATCCATCCTTGATCCTAACCCAACAGATGCCTGGCATTTTGTAGATGCTCATTAGATGTTTGCTGGGTGAATCAGAGAATGGAAGCATGGGTGGATGGATAGATAAATGGGTTCATTTCAAATTCTTGATTTTGATGTCCTACCGGGTGAGGTAGATGGCCAATCGCATGACTGTGTCCACCATACAAAGCCTCGATGGAACAAGACTCTTGGGGCGCCCAGCTGGCTCAGTCGGTAGAGCGTGCAACCCTTGATCTCAGGGTTGTGAGTTCAAGCCCCATGTTGGACGTGGAGCCTACTTTAACATGAATGAATGAATAAATAAATAAATAAAGTGTAGAAAAAAGACTCTTATTAAAATGACTCCCAGCAGGGCGCCTGGGTGACTCAGTTGGTTAGGCGACTGCCTTCGGCTCAGGTCATGATCCTGGAGTCCCGGGATCGAGTCCCGCATCGGGCTCCCTGCTCAGCGGGGGGTCTGCTTCTCCCTCTGACCCTCTTCCCTCTTGTGCTGTCTCTCACTCTCTCTCTCAAATAAATAAAATCTTTAAAAAAAAAAAAAATGACTCCCGGCATATCTGTTAATGGAGCTAAATTCAGAAGGAGAAGACCTCCAGGTGCTAGTCCTCTACGAATCTTAGCATTAATTGGATACAGTACATCAGTGGGTTTCTGCTGCGTAGAATAGAAAGGCAATTTTTGTAATAACACAGCTGAAGTATTTATGGTTACTGTAGATGCTTACAGTTTTAGCATTTATGAGTGGGATCACTTTGTCAGTTTACCTAAATAGGTTTTGTCATATTTACATACAAGGGTTTTGAGGCTGGTACTTACTTTTGAAAGAATATCAATGATGTTTGTACTCCTATAAGCACTCTTTTTTTCACTGTGGTAAAATATACATAAAATTTACCATTTTAACTATTTTCAAGTGTACAAGTTCAGTGGCATGAAGTACACTCACTTTGTTGTGCAACCATCACACCATTTGCCTCCAGAACATTTCCATTGTCCAAACATAGACCATACCCATTAAACACTAACTCCACCACGTTCTCCCTCTCCCTAACCCATGGCAACCCCCATTCTGCTTTCTGTCTCTATGAATATGACTATTCTAGCTAATTCACACAAATGGAATCATACAGTATTTGTCTTTTTGAGACTGGCTTATTTCACTATAAGATCCTTTTTTTGTTTGTTTTTTGTTTTAAGATTTTGTATGTTTATTTGTCAGAGCCCAAGCAGGGGGAGCAGCAGGGGGAGGGAGAAGCAGGCTCCCCACTGAGCAAGGAGCCCGAAGTGGGGCTCCATCCCAGGACCCTGGGATCATGACCTGAGCCGAAGGCAGAGACTTAACCGACTGAGCCACCCAGGCGTCCCACTATAAGATCCTTAAGGCTCATTTATGTTGTAGCCTGTATTAGATATTCCTTCCATTTTAAGGCCGAATAATATTCCATTGTCTGGATATGCCACATTTTGCTGATGCACTCATCTGTTGGTTGACACTTGAGTTGCTTCTACCTTTTGGCTGCTATTAATAACGCTACTATGAACATGGTGTACAAATACCTCTTTGAGTCCCTGCTTTCAGTTCTTCTGAGTATATATCCAGAGGTGGAATTGCTGGATCATGTGGTAATTCTATGTTCAATTTTTTGAGAACCCATACTGTTTCTCCAGAGTGGCTGCATCATTTTTCATTCCCATCAGCAATGCAAAGGGTTTCATTTTTTTCACATCATCACCAACACTTGTTATTTTCTGAGTTTTGGATAATAGCCATCCTCATGGAGGTGAAATGATATCTCACTAGAGTTTTGATTTGCATTTCCCTAATACTTGGTGTTGTTGAGCATTTTTTCATGTGCTTGTTGGCCATTTGTATATCTCCTTTGGAGAAATGTCTATTCAAGTCCTTTGCCCATTTTAATTCATGTTTGTTTTCATGTTGAGTTGTAGGAGTTCTTTATATATTGTGGATATTAATCCCTTGTAAGATATATGATTTACAAATATTTTAGCCCATTCCATGGGTCATAAACCCATTTTTAATCAATTATAAAATAACTCCCACATCTAAAAGGCCTTGGTTAAGACCTAACTTGTGTTTCTTCTGCAGTTCCTCACTGTTTTCCATGATGTTTGTGCCAAACCCCCCAGAATGGGGCTGAATGTATCAGCATTGGAGAGTAGGTGTGACCATTTGGCTTATGTCAGAATTTCAAAGACAGAAACAATTCTTGGTTTATGCAACTCAGAAAATTCCAGAGAAAGCCCCCAAATACTAGTCTTTTTTGCCATTTGAATAGATTGAGGAGATGGATATTTGGTCTTTTTCTCGATCAATTATCCTGGATTCGAGTGGAAAAAGGACTCAAAAGCAGGGGACATTTTAGACGGTGCCATTCCTCTTGGTCTTATGTATTGAGTGAATTTTATGCCCCACATCACATTTTAAAGAGAATGAGTAAGACAAGGAAGTAATATCTGCAGGTCAGAAATCTAATAAACACTCTTCCAAATGTTCACACTATTTCAAAGATGTGTTCAGTTACCACGTACAAATTGTATATTAAGGAGCTCATTCAGATCGATGAACAAGTATGAGAGGAGAAAAGGTCACAAAACAAGCTTCAGTGACCATTGAAGCAGTCACATTAATTTCCCTTGCCAACAAAGGTTTGAAAAAATTAAGACTCAGCAATTATTGAACTAGCTGAGTCCCTCAGGCAAGGGGAAATAAGCAATAAACCATCACCCTCAACCCCGGGATGGTGGCAGCGCAGATTGAATTAACGGATACACACACTGTTTTTGCTGATTTTTATATTCCTTTCATGTCATTTTATGTTTTGCAATAAAGGCAATTTGTAAGATTGATGTGACTGGCTTGCGGGCTGGGGGGAAAAGCGTTCTATCCAAGGGCAGTAGCAGGAGGTGAAGAAAGAAAACAGTGCATGACTCCAGGCTCAGGGAAATCTCCCCAGGGGAGGGATGGGAGCCCCTCGGGCAGTTCGGGGGCACAGTCCAGGCCCACCCGCTCCCCACAGCACCTGGCTTCCCAAATGTCTCAGCGCAGAATGCATTCACCAAAAGGAGAAACCATGAGTCTGACTGTGGTTGAATGGGGCATCTGTGGTGGGGACAGGACATACATGGCCTTAAGTTGTGGGGACAAGGCTTAATGGAGGGAAATGAGTTGTTACTTATTTGGGGTGATACCAGGCTGACCTTCAGCGCTCTCCTCTCATCCCTGCCATGGACCTCTCTGCCCCCACCCCCCAGGCTTGAGAGTCACCTCATCTGTGGGTCACGGTTCCAGGGCCTCCTTCCAGGGCTTTGGGACAGTAGCCAAGCCAACCAGGAGCTTTCTCCACCCCTCAGTCCCAAGGCCTCCAACCACTGTGTCCCTCACCAAGCCCTGCCTTTCCCAAGCAGGGAATCTGAAGTTCTATGGGGATGGGGAGCTCCCTCCCCATCTCTTTTCTCTCCAGACAACGGAGCCACCGCACTAGAGGGCACAGGCCCTACCTCTTCCATCAGGGACAGCCCAAGAGCCAGGCCTTGCTCTTCTGTCTCCTGAAGGTCTCGGTGGAGACCCCCAGCCTCAGGAGCTAGTAGCCACCCGGCGTTAATTTGCATGAGCTACCCTAACAAAGTACCACAGACGAGTGACTTCAGCAGCAGAGATTTATGTTCTCACAGTCCTGGAGGCCGGAACTTAGAGATCAAGCTGTCAGCAGGGTTGGGGTCTCCTGAGGCCTCTCTCCTTGGCTTGCGGATGGCCGCCTTTTCCCGGAGTCCTCACGTGGTCTTCCCTCTGTGTGCCTATGTCCTACTCTCCTTATAAGGACACCAGTCCTATTAGATCAGGGCCCATCCTAAAGACCTCATTTTAACTTAAGGACCTCTTTAGAGGCCTTATCTCCATATACAGTCACGTTCTAAGGTGCTGGGAGTTAAGGCTTCACCATAGGAATTTGGGAGGAACACAGTTCAGCCGCTAACAGCCCTTCCCCGAAAGTCAGCTCTGTTCTGTGGCCCCAGGACTCCCCTTTCTATGACCGAGTGCTGAGCCACCATAGAGAGCAGTACGTCCTGGGCTGGGTGGGCTTTCCCTGCGGTGAGCACATGGCTGCCACCCCCACCTCGTACACAGACATTTGTGTCTGGGGGCTGGGGTACAGGCGTTCACGCCCACGTGCACTCGCCAGCTTGGTGGAAATCCTGGTTTGGGGGATACAGATGTGCCTCCGACACTCCCCCTTTCCAGGACTTTTCTCCCGCGTCTCTGACCCCAGTTCCACTCCTTCAGCCCAGTCTTTCCTCCACCCCAACTCCAGAGCTGTTGCTCATGCTTCCCGCTACACACCAGCCCTTGGCTTGGGGGGATCTGAGAAGCTGAGATCCTCAGTGGCTGATCTGTTTGTTCATTGCACAAATGTGCTTTGGGCGCTGGCTCTGTGCCAGACGCTGACTAGCTAAGGGTTGGCAAGAAGAGGGTAGTGTCCCCAGAATCCTGCCACCAGCAAGCTCCCTGCTGGGGCAGATGCAAGAGCTTGCTGCCATTTCAAGCTCCCATGGTGTCCCAATGCTCCTCATCCATCTGCTCGAAACTTTATATGGACCCAGAGAATTAGGCAAAAGTGCCCCAGACTTGTTGAGGAGGAAAACGAGATTCGCAGAGGTTAACAGGCAGAGCGTGGATGAGGAACCCGGGCCTGTCTGTCCTGAAGCCTGGGGAAGGGAAGGCCTCCGCTAGAAGGCTCTGCCTGGGCTGTGTCTCTTGTCTCCCCTCCCCCGCCCTGGGCTAAGCCACCAGCCTCCTGTTCTGTCTCCCCACAGCGATGGGCGGCTTGCTGTATCCATGGCCCCAGCCTGACAAATGAGCTAACTAACCCAGACGCAGAGTCCGTCGGTACGGGCATGCCACATGGACCCTCCTCCAAGCAGGCACCAAGGGAGCTCCTACGTTAAGACCCCCACGGGCCTCCCACATCACAGCCTCCCCTGACCTATGGAATTAAGGACCCAGGTTTGAAGCGATGCGGTCCTTCGGTTCCAGGATGCCTAGAGTTGGGGTCAGAGGTCCAACAGCTTCCAACAACAAAGCAGCCACCTCAGACTCTGCTCTTCCACCTCGCAGACTGAGAAGGGCCCCTGAGGCAGGGGGCAGGCCTGAGCTGCTATTTGTCTGGGTGGAGCTTGTCGCAACACTGTTTATCCACCTTTGCCGGGGGCCCAAAGCCCCTTGGTGTGCGGAGGATACGTACGGAGCCAGGCCTGGGCTCACAGGTCGCCGTGCTGCCTGCTCCAGACCCTCGCTCCACCTCACCTCTGCACCCTGCCGCCCAGTGCTCGGCTCCCGGAGGAGACCACAGTCAGCCGAGGCCACCGACCCACCACTGGAGCCATGGTAGGGTAACCGCGCAGCCGGTCAGCCCAGCAGGCTGGGCCCATGAACCAGGCACGGGAGGACAAAGTTAGGTCACGTCTGGGGCCTCGGGGAGGCCTCGGGGACCCTCTTGAATTGGACTTGAGGCTCAAGGGGTGGCACTGGGGTGTTGGGGAAAGCATGGGAGAGGAAAGCCTGGGTTGGACTCCAGGGTCTTGACTTGATTGCTGTGTGTGCTTGGGGAAGTTACTTCACCTCTCTCAGCTTCCATTTCTGCTCCTGAAAATGGGAGTAATATTACCTATTTTGTGACTTTATTATAAGGTCTGTAAGATAACAATGTATAGAGGATTTCAATACAGTGCTCCGTACACAGGCCTCATCCAGCAAATGGGAGGCTTATCCCCAGGGCTCCCTGCTTTGGTCTAGAGGCCAGGAAGCCTGCTGCGGAGTCTCCCAGACTCGGCCCTTCCTGGCAGGAGGAGCCTGGTGGGAGAGCTGAAGGCCAGCTCCCAAGTCCTTCTGGAGCCACCAGGCCAGCTCAGGCCGGCCCTTCCCCAGTCGCCCTGCTCAGCCAGAGTCCACCTGCTGGGTCCCTCCGAGCGGTGCCCCAGACAGACGGGGGACAGGAGCCCTGCGGCCTACTTTCCCGGCTCCACCCCTGACCCCGTCCCTTCTACTGAGAATGGACAATGTTTCCCGTGTGATCCGCCCCCGTGGCCACGAGGGGTCAAGGGAGATCACAGGAAGCCCCGCACGTAGCTGCTCAGCTTCAGAGCTTCCGACGCGTGTTGCATCTTCCCACTGGCCCTGAGAGGTGACCAGGGCAGAGGAGCCTGGCTGGGCGCCCGGGCCCCAGCCTCCCGTCCTATGATGGCGGGAGCGTGGGAGGGCGTCCGGGCAGCCCGCGGCCACATATCTGTGGCCTCCCAGCTTTCTTGCCCTCACAGGTCCATGGATACAAAGGAGTCAAGTTCCAGAACTGGGCTAGGACCTATGGCTGTTGTCCAGAAATATACTATCAGCCCACATCCGTGGAGGAGGTCAGAGAGGTGAGTGTGCATCTATGGCTGGAGACCAGGTCCTGCCCCGGAGAGGAGGCAGGGACTGGGGACGTGCCGGGCTAGGACCCCCCACCTCCACACCCCCTCCACCCCAGAACCGCTGACCAGGCGAGAGCTCCACGAAGCCGGCTGCAGTCCGGGCCCTGGCCTCCCCTGCCTCAGCGCCCCGTTAGAACTGTCTGGTTCACCAGTGACGGCCGGCATTGCACTTCCAGCTCAGACCTCTCCTCCGGGCTTTCTCCTTGTGTGTCTCAAGGTCATCACAGACCTCCATGCCCCAAACTACACTTCCAGTGTTCTTTTGTTTTTGACTTAAACCTCTTTTGTGCCTGTCTCTGCGTGGGGCACCTGCTTGCTCAAATTGGAGGCCAAGAAGTGGGGCATTACCCTTATCTGGCATCAGTAAGGCTTGCCCCAGAAGCTTCCAGAATCCATCCCCTTCTCTAAGGTACCATTGCCGCTCTCCATGCCCAATCCGCCATCCCTTCCTTAACCACCATGACCTGCGGTGGCCTTGTCCCTGGTCTCCCTGCTTCAGTTCTTTCTTCCTTGGAATGTAATTTCCACATCAGTAGAAGTAGTTTTCTTTCTTTTTTCTTTTTTTTTAAAGATTTTATTTATTTATTTGAGACAGAGAGAATGAGAGACAGAGAGCATGAGAGGGAGGAGGGTCAGAGGGAGAAGCAGACTCCCCGCTGAGCAGGGAGCCCGATGCGGGACTCGATCCCGGGACTCCAGGATCATGCCCTGAGCCGAAGGCAGTCGCTTAACCAACTGAGCCACCCAGGCGCCCCAGTAGTTTTCTTTCTTAAAATGTAAGCTGGATGGGGCTACTCCCCTGCTTCAAGCCCTTCAGAGGCTCCCTATTGTACGTGGAGTAACACTGTAACTCGACTCCCAAGGCCATGTATCACCTGACCTTGGTTCACCCTTTGTTCATAAGACAAACCAAACCTTTTCCTACTTCGGGGCCTTTGTACTTGCTATTCTGAACACCGCCAGGAATGCCTGTCGCTTCACTTTTCACACAACTAACTCCTTTTCATCCTTTGGGTCTCAGGGTAAACTTCAGCTCCTCAGTGGATTCCCACACCACCTTATCTGCATGCAGTATGGCCCCAGTGTTCTCTGTCCCTGTGTATGTTTCCTTCACTGCGTATTTATAATCACTTGCCATTACTCTCTTTCACAGATGGGTAAACTAAGGCTAATAGAGGCTTTGTTATTTTCCCATATTAGTAAGTATCAGAGCCAGGATTCACACAGGGGGATTGTCTGATTCAAAGCCCCCACCTTCTTACGCAGGAAAAGCTACACACTGGAAAAGTGGTTGAGCTGGGCCCAGGAGAATGAATAAAAGCTCCACAGGGGGCTGGGGAAGGGCACTGCGAACAAGGGAAAGTGAGGAGCATGCCTGG